GTCGTAAACGGATGGGTATGGTTGGGAATAGTATTCGGGTAGGCTGCGTTGTTTAAACAATGCTCAGCTGAACCAAAGGTGTGTCACCCCGTGTGGTCTTCTGCTGCTGTAGCCCATCTGCTTCAAGGTTCAACATATTGAGGATTCAGAGATGCCCTTTTGCATAGTTTGGTTGTAAAGGTATGCATTTTATGTAAACCCTAGAAATAGCTTTATGGGAAATCAGCAGTTTCTAAAATACTCAGACTGCCTTGTCTGGCACCAGCAATTGTGTCACCTTCAAATTGTATACGTTGCTGAAATATGTCATGCACTGAATGCAGCTTTTTAAATTCAGTACATGATTTTATTTTATTTTATTTTTTATTGATTAGCATTCAAATATCTCAGTGAAAACAGAACAAAGATCTACCACAAAGCAAGAAAGCATGAGACAAGGCTAATCTCATGCTTTCTTGCTTTGTGGCTAATCAAAAGGTATTGGCTGACATATGACATATTTCTTAAGGCAAATAATGAAAAAGAAGTTTGATCATTACAAGAAACACACAAGAAAACAGAGCCATATAGCTGAATGGGGCAAAAACAGCATGCATCAAAAGAAAGTGTACAAAATCCAGAGATGAGCAGCGGAATGCTACTTGTAAGAGTTGCAGTTAAGAGTTTGTTTTGGAATTGGGGGGGGGGAAAGAAGGTTTTAGATGTTTACTCCTTTATCTTTTCTATTCTCTTGTTCTTCGCTGCCCTCTGGAAGCAGAAGCAGCTCGGCTCTTTTGAACATTTTGCCTTTTTGTTTGTACGCTCACATCTTTCTGTGGACATGTGTGGCAGCTGAAATAAAAGACAGACATATGCTATTTGCAATGCTCCGCATTTGGGATCATTACCTCTAAGCTAATGTTAACAGAGGACGAGCTGCTGTAGCAACTGAAAATATCAATTAAAATCTAACCATAATTAACTTTGAGTCTACTGCTCACGTTACACTTACAAAAAGCAACATATAGAGACAAATAAGCCTCATTCTTTGGTGTATTTGACATATATTATGTTTGGTTTTTTTGCATTGCTTCCCTCAGAAGCATAGTAAATATTTCTGTGGGGAGTTTCATTCATCAGAAGTGGTAATATTTCTACCTTTTAATCATGAGATCAGATTCTCATGTTATTGATTAATTACCGCACAAATGCTGGGTTGCAAAAGTGTCAATTATTAGGATTTCAACACACGTAGCTTGTTAAATGACCTTTTCCCCCTTTGCTATGTTGTTAAAGGAAGGAAAATGGTTTCTTCTAATGTTTAGTCATGCGTGGGGTGTGTGTGTGTGTGTGTGTGTGTGTGTGTGTTGTGTGTGTGTGTGTGTGTGTGTGTGTGTGTGTGTGTGTGTGTGTGTGTGTGTGTGTGTGTGTGTGTGTGTTGTGTGTGTGTTCCCGTGTGTCTATGCTCATTAATCCCCTTCCAATCGGGCACGACATGTTCATTAGCCCGCTGCCTGTTTGCATTGTTAACGCTAAGCCTCAGCCAGAGCTATGGCACATGTGCATGGTTTTTTTTTTCTTATATGCGTTAATGAGTGTGCGAGTGCAGGCTCTTAACAAGCACAAGTCTAGAGAACAGACACATTTAATAGTTTGAAAGAAGAGGAAGACAAATGCACATAGTTGAGCTGCCGATAAGTACAGTAAGATAGGGATGCTTTAGGAGCAATTGATGTACCCATTAAACTCCCTGAAGACGGAGACACACAAAGGCTCAGATTGCCACTTTAAAATACCACGGTGTCACATTTGAAGGAGTTCACTCATTCTGTGTTCACGATTGCTTAATCTCATTTTGAGCCCTCGGTGTTCTGTTGTTAAGCTTCCAGTAACACGTTTTGAGTCATGTCACACATGGCTTGTAGCAGTGTCTTTATTTTCCACAGATTATGTACGCTTTAGATCGCAGAGACCTGATAACAACGCCTAAGTTGTCGGTTTGTGTAGAATTGCTTCTGTTACACGACCAAAGACAAATGGAAAGACTAATGAAGAGAATACGTGGCTTTGACAGCTAGTTCTTGTAATGTCCCTCCCCTTGCCCAATCAGTGTGTTTCCCTGTTGGGCTCATACATCACCGTCTTTACTCCCTGTACCCTTTCTGGGTTGTTGTGATCTTGTCTGGTTGATGCATTGGTCCTTTAAACATCCTTAGACTCTGTTGGTTTCTGCTGCTGCTGCCGTGTAACTCCCTGGTGACTGACTTTCCACAAAAAAAAAAAAAAAGAACTCTGTGCCATATTTGGTTCTTTTAGCTTGGACTTGAGCAGTGGTGTATCCTGAAATGTTCACTCTTAGCTGGATGTCATTTTCTCTCTGTGTGTGCAAAAATTCTTCTTCATTCTTCAACTTAAAAGACCAAACACACTGCACCAAATTGATCTTCAAGTTCAGTAGCGGTGTACTTTGGGGTGGATTTCTTTCTTTTATTGGTAAAGTTAGTTGGAAATGATTGTAATTCACTAAAGAAATGGAATAAACAGCTCTACCCCAGCCTACCTGCACCCTTAAAGCTCACTCAGCATGGCGTACCTTGTCTAATCGATGCAAACAAGCAGAAAAAAACTGTCAGATTTTCCCCTAAGCTAGCTTAAAGGCTGCAGCTTCATAAATACTGCACAGACATGAGAGTTTGGGTTAGCGTTAGTATTCTCACCCAACAGCACTTATTTCCCAGAATAGAGAAAGATATCCAGGCTTTCAAATTTATGTTAAATTAATCATTCTTTCACTGTCCTTCCTTTTTTTGTACATTGTCTTCTCTTCCTATTTTCCATTCTTTTGTTCTTTATTTCAATCTCGTACCTCTTACTTTCGTCAGTGATCGCTTGCTTTTTGGCCTGATCCTCCCTATCCTGTTTCAAATGTTTACCTCTACTCATTGTTTCTTTTGTTTCTTCCTTTTTATTTCTTAATTGCTTTTCTTTTCAGTCAGCGTGTCTTCACTTTTTCCATTTTTTCATCCTCACTCAGCCTTTTTCCCTGTTCTTGTTCTGCTTTTGTGTTTTTTCATCCCAGTTTAGTTCGGCGAATATCTCAAAGCCCAATTTGAATGCGCCATGCATAGAAAAGCGCGTCCTCTCCTCCTCCTGCTTTCATTTCCTTTTATATTCTTTTCCCATCTCTCAAGGTTTAGTTTTCATACCTTGAGTCACAAAATAGACCGTGAAGGTCTTACGAAGGTTGTGCTGTTGTGCGTGTGTGTGTGTCTGTCTCTCAATATTTCAGGATGATATTTTGCGTTCAGAGTTCACTCTATTGATTCCCTTAGCATACATCCTTTGAGTTGTGATTGCATATACATGCACCAGCAGGGTTTTGACTGCCTGAGTTGTTTGTGAAGCTTAGCAGCAGGTTGTTGAGAGCTGCAAATGCCTCATTATGTAAGATGTGTTTACCAGATGCCAGTCTACAGTTTCATTTGTCCCCTGTCTCACTTTATCACTCACATTTGCGTCTTCTAAGCAGCCATTTTGGCTCGCTTCTTTTTCCTGTTCTACCTCTGTCATCTGCTATCTTGCATCCCAGTTTTACGTGAGGAAAAAAACAGATGTCCATATCTTATGTTATACACATTTTTTTTGAAACAATAGGAATACATGCCTTGACTTAAAACAATGCCTTTGTGTTTTTGCCTCATATGATGTATTTTCATGTATGTTTCCACATGTTTCAATAACCTGCTGCATCCATTTCTCCTTTTCCTAGCAGTGATTGCACCACCCATAAACTCGTCCAGAAAATAATAAAATAAAATAATAAAGGGATTTGCTTTTGACTATGAGAAAGCACAAGATCTTCAGCAACAGAAGTGGATCTGTCGTATAAAAAGGAAAATTAAAATAAAGGGCGAGAGGATCAAAACAAAAATAAGGAAAATTGCTTTATTGGTAATTAAAGTTATTAGCTGGTCCCTGTGGTAAAACGAGTGATGAAAAACAGATAACTCTTCTTACATCTCATGATGAGTGGGAACATTTATTGAGCTGCAGGCAACTGCATTTTATTTTTGGTATAAATCAAAAAGGGGCTGTTTGTTCAGAGAGAACTGTGTTTCTCTAAAGCTGTAAATTCTTGCAATTGCAATTCTTGCAATGGTTCCCTTTTAGTGGCGATCTGGTCATGAACAACATAAAGCTGCAACACAACATAATGTAATGTAGGATCTGACTTAGTAAAAACCTAAAAAACCTCATTCATAAACAGGAAACTGATAAGTTTGTAGCATAAACCTATTCGCTGGAACGTTCAAGACAATTCAGTTACACAGCAAAAAGCATTGAACACCAAGCAGAGCTCTTTATATTTCTCGTATACGAGGGAGGCCCGAGCCAAGTGACGTTCCTTCCACTTGACCCCAGTTGCTCTCGTCCGCTCCCTCGTAACACTGCTGTGTGTGTGGTCAGAGTGTGACCCTATAAACAACTTCCCTAAACCTGCTGGTCTGGAAGCCCAGCAGTTCATCTAAACAAAAGGCACTTAGACTAAAACAGATATAGATATGTTTATCATACCACAAAACAATAAGCGAAGGTACGACCTCTCCCATGCACCCAGGATGTGGGTGTGAATGCCAGAACACTCTGGAATGCACACAAAGTCTTTGCAGACTATTAAGGATCAACCCTCTACCAACATGACATTGATTATAAAACTCTAAGCATATATGAGTAGATATTTCTAAGCATAAATGACAATCCAACAATATAAATCTAACAGAAACAGGTCATAATAACACAGTAATCAAAAGATATACGAATAAGTACCCTGCTACTAGGAAAATGTGAAACTGAAATCGCAACATACAAAACCATACTGAGAGTTAATTTTACGTTTTTTTATTCAGACGGGAAGCAAAAAAATCTGTCTGGCAAACCTTTTTTCAAGCAACCCAAACAAAACTAAACACTCAAACAAAAAAGTTTTGGACTCTCAAACCCTTCGTCTTCTCTTCTCCCAGCCCAAACAGCGCACCTCTCTGTCTTCCTCCTTGGATGTCCAAAGGCCGGTCAACCACAGCTGTGAGCCCAGCGAGGTGAGCTCTTCCCTCGGCTACGCCAGCTTCAGCACCAGTCCCCCCGCCAGCCCTCCGCTCAGCCCCAACCAGGAGGACTCTGCAGGTTCCAACGACGACTGTCAGCTCACAGGTAAGAAGCATTAAATGCCCTTTACCTTCAGTTTTCCAGTTACAAAACAAGATGATCATTATTGAAGGCCTGAGCCTCAAGTGAGAACAAGTCTTTTACCTGGAATGTAATGACATCTCACTTCCCCGAGGGGAAGGAGGGGGAAGCAACACAGATATCTTCTCTAAGGAGTAATGCTGTGCTATTTATATAACCCTTTGCATTAATGTAATGGCAGCAATCAAAGCTACTAAAACACTTCTTCCTGTTTTAATAGATGCAAATTAAGACTGAGTAACTTTGGAATTAAAGGGGAAGTGTACAAGTTTAAGGTGGCATCTAAAGGGCTGTTTTAATTATTTATTGTTCTATGAGTGTCTTTCCTAACTAATTTATCATTTGGTCAATTAAGAAAAATAATTAAAGAGATTTATTCATTCTTTGCTGCCTGACCAAAAATCTGTCGAATCAGTTTGATGAAAAATAACATGGTTGTGAATAATGTGTTTTTTTGGATATTCACTAACATGTTGCCTGAATTATTCTTTATTTTTGGATTAGTGGTGTTTTATCATCACTATTCTCAGTGAAGCATCTGTAGAGAGGGAGTGAAATGTGGTTTGAGCTAAAATGAAAGGGAATGTAAAATCTGTTCAGAATATTTAAAATGCCACATTTCTCATGTGTATAAGCCAGCTGGTGTCTTGGTGACTGCCTCTCTTACTAAATATCTACTCTAATAATGCATAACGCACATATTTTATCTGAAAGTGAATATAATGACTGCTTGTATGTTTCGGCATGTGGTGCATCATTTTTCTTGCACTTGGGTTGCTCATTATAACATAGCTAAGCCCACCTTTTTTTTTTTTCCTCATGTTTTCCTTTTACATGTTGTCACTGTTGCCTTGGTGTAAGTGATGCTTAAACTCTGACTGCATAGGAACCAAATAAAACCCTAATCTCTTTGTCCTGGGTCCCAGGAAATTGAAATCATATTTCTACTCATTCTATTCTGGTGGCCATAACCAAGTGGCAAGCACCTTAGAGGCTAAGAACATGTCTGAGAACAGCTGGAAGGTGTACAGAGTGCACCATGAAAGCTGGACCATTTCTGACTGAGATGAATTAGAGATCATGATCCAGGCTACACTAGGCAGGCAGACAGTTTAGCAACAGCAGGAGAACACTTTATCTTTCAGTTAGGCAATGCTGACTTCATTCATCAAAATAAATGAATAATATCTCTATTTGCTACCACTTGCAGATGCTGGAGCCACTCAAGCTATTGCTGAAAGGATAGTCATATTATTAGTGCAAACATATTGAAAGATGCCATTTTATGTTTGTTTGCATTCAAAGTTATCAGCACATCCCAACACAAACACATTAGCATGATGTTTTTAGATTACATGCCATTTTAACTTGTTAAACTGTGTTTGCATAATCTGCCCTAGACTTTGTTTTGACGAATACAGCCACACCAGCTACTTTTACACAGCATCAGTTACTGCAGGTTGGCTCTGGCACCGAATGTTCAGCGGTTAGTTAGACCTGTCGGGCAATGCAGGTTCACAGTTATGAAAATGCAACATTTTCAAAACTCCCATTTTCCACAAGCAGCGTGTTCCTCTCATTGGCAAAAATAATGGATTATAATGGATTCCCAGAGGACTCGTGATTTTCTCCTCATCAAAGAAACACCGGTAATTTTCCAACCAGTGAGAATTTAGTCAGATGAAAACATCTGAGCAACCAATCAGCCAGGTGATCTGGAGACTACAAACTTCAGACTTTCCTCTGTCTTTTCCCTTAAAGCTAAATGCATCAATGCTTTGCAGTTGTTAACATTTTTTTTTTTAAACTTACTATTAAATATTCACCGAAAATCTTCTTTGCTTTTGCAGAGAACTCCACTAATCATGGCAAGCCAGTGAAAATGAATGTATTTAGCCTGATATATTCACCATTTTAAATGCTTGTGGGGATGTAACGAACAGATTAATGTTAGAGATTAAACTATTACTACTGAATAAATCATGTTAAATATATTCTTTTTAGTCTGGCATTTAAAAAGCAAGATTTTAGGGTAACAATATAGCAGATGAATCGCACATCTGTTCAGCTTTGATGCAAATCAGGATGCAAGCTTGCTGGCTATCTTAAAAACTAGGCTCTGAGACATCAGCAAAAAATTCTCTGTTAGTCCAGTGGGGAGTCGCTTTTACTGTCACACCAGATGAAACACTGTTTCATCATTAGATGCTCTCCCCCGCTGAGTTTCAAAGTTTCTTCTCCAAAAGGAATATTCGGAGTAATGAATGAGGTGTTCATATAAGAGTCCCGTAATCAGTGCATCTGAGTCTTAAATCTGCACACGTGCACATTTCACTGCATTTATTTAAGCTCACAAAATAAAAAAGTAGCATAAATGCTAATTGATGCAAACATGTTTACTATTCATGTGCCCCTTTTTAAAAAATTGTGACTGCATATTTATGAGTTTGACACATTTTTAACATCATGGACTTTCCATTACCATGTATGTCTCTATGTAAATTAGGGAATATTTTTGAATATTCCTTAAATTATAAAAAATCAAGTCGTTCATGCGACGATTTCTACTCCTGGTTTTATGTGTGTATGTATAAGGTGGCTATAATGTAAAATTGGCACTTTAAGGTTTGATGGTAGTTAGCAAACAGGAGAAAAGTCAAAAGTGGAAGACTATTACAGCTGTCAAAATGTTCTGAGAAATAAAGAAAAATGAGGCTCCGCTCAAACGTCACCAGGTAAAGCTAGCATGACAGATGTACCAGAAATATGCACCATCACTGGAGATTAGAAGTGGGTGAGTGAATAGTTCTAAGTCAACACTGAATATTATTTTTGCTTGAAATACCAAGTCCTACAGTAAATCCCCCTTTTTATTAAAAAATAATTTTTGTACGTTTATGTCGGCACAATGTAATATTTAATTTTCAATATTTAATTTAAGTATTTCTGTATTATGAGATATTTATTTCTGACCTTCGTTTCCTTGGTGTCATTTCCTAGAACCTCGTTTGTGTTACCATAGTGATAAAATCCCTGTTGTCATGGAAAAGTGGTGGCCTTGGCGATGGTTAGCTTGTGACGTGGTAATACTTCCTTCTCTCACCTGGCTTTCAGTCCAACTGTCCCTCACACCCGCAGCTATCGGGCTTCCAACAAAAGAGGCAAAGCAAGGGAAGCTGTCCAGGCAGGAGACATATTCGAAGTGTGTGTGTGTGTGTGTCTGTGTGTTTCATCCGGGAGCAGTTCAGAGACCCTGCTAGACTTTGATCTGAGTAGAGCCTCAGCAGGGGAAAAACACATTCATTATCAATCCACAGGTGCATGTACACAGACACACTCGCGCGCGCACACACACACATGCACACAGGCGTAAAACTGAATGAGACATCTTCATCTAGTATTCCTATTGAAGCATTGCGGTGGTATTTATGTTACAAGACTGTGTTATTTCCCTCTTAAAGCTACATAATGAGCCTTGGCCTGTCACTGATATCTGGTGGATGACTTCTGAGGACGGAAACTGAGGAGCAATTATTGATCACAGTCTCGAAAATCTCTTCTTTTTGACTTTTGAAAACATTGCCTGACACTATGTAAATATATCGGGCATGGATAGTGTTCATAGTTGAATTGCTGAGTGGATACATAAAAATTTAATGGCTTGCAAGAAGGTTCTCGTGCTTAAATAGCTTATCAGTAGTTCATTTAGAATGCACAACCACTTAAAGTGTCTTTTGGACACTGTTGCCTAAAAGGCATCCCACTTCTCAGTGCATTGGATCAATGCATTGATCCTGTACTTAATAATTATGCATCCAGTTATTGGTTGAATGGATGCAATAACATATACTGTATTATGTAAGATATTTGCTCTGTTCATAAATATTGAAAGATGAATAGAGTAACGAACAATCAGTTAAATTACATTCCAGGTTATTTACAGTCATGATTGGCTAACTTACTCTAATTGTAAACAATCTTAAGAATTTACCATATTCAAAAAGAAGTAAGCTAAGTGGCTAATCATGTATCTGTAACCTTTTTTAATCATGAGCTGTTCAAACTTTTTAATACATTTTTATTTTCATTTTAGAAAACATACTTTTTCACTCTCCTGGAGAATAGGCACGAGTAGACTGATACCACTCATGTCCTTATTTGTAGACTGTAACTACTACTATTGCCTATTGCCTAAGTACCTAAAGGCTGAAGTTCCTTGAGTGACCACTTGGTGCTGGTTCCAAAAACGAGTCAGTTCTTATAAACTTGCATCGGACCTGAGATAAAGTTTTCTCAACTTCCAGGCGGGCAACTGAAGCAACTACCAGTGAGAGTAAAGATTACTGTTGATTGATACGTGACCTGGTAGTAAATACATAAATACATTAGATGGTCACCTAGGCAGCTGGAGCGTGGAATATCTGCAAGCAACGAACTGTCAGCTTTAATGCGATATGCAATGAGCAAATGGTTCCCAGCATGGATGTAGCTTAAACCTGTGAGAACAGAAAGACTTTCCCAAAAAGAAAGTTTCTTTCTAAATGAAGACACAGTTGTGACTGACCTGACGTCTGCAGAGAATGTATTCCAAAGAAAAGGACCACAGTAACTGAAACACTCAGCACACTTGGATCTAATAGTCACAAGATTTGCACCTGGTGACCTGAGAGGTCTAATTGGGTTATAGACACTGAACCAGTCGGAGATGTAATAGTGAGCCAAACTATTGAGAGCGTTATGAACTAATAGAAGCATTTTAAAGGCAATTATGTGTTGAAATGGGAGAAATGACTTTAACACTGGGGTAATATGTTCAAATTTCCATGTAAGGACTTTGACTGCTGTTGTCAAAGTTGTACTAGTGATGGTTTGGATAGTCCAGCAAGTCGAGTGTGACAAAAAGCCGTTCTGATGACCTTATTGATATGATTATCATAACTCTATTTATCCAGTATTATGCAGTC